GAAGGAAGGAAGGAAGGAAGGAAGGAAGGAAGGAAGGAATTTTTAAAATTTATAACCTTCTGTGCTTTGCAAAATTTCAGTGTGGATTTCAGAACAATATAATATTTTTAGTATAATATCTTCTAAAATTAGAATATAGCAAAACCATAGCAAATTAAAACATTAATTCCAGGGGGAGAAATATTGCTGCTGTCATGCAGTTCCACTTTTTATAGGCTGTCTCTATATCTGAGCACGTGTCCTAAATATCCATGGCTTTTCTGAAGTAGTGGCTATTCTGCCTCATTAAAACTTTCCATGTATAAATATATTCATAATGAATAGACATGGGCATTTCATACTTTTATCTAAGGATACAAAATATGAACTGAGACACCACAGGTGTTGAGATGGCTCAATTCCCACCCCCATAGAACCAGTCAGCCCACTCTCCCGGCTCTGTCCAGGATGGGGTCCTCCTTCAGTGGCAGCACTCCAATCTCAGCAGGAGACCAGCTGGCCCTTCCTCACCTCCTCTAGCAGCTGACCACTCATCAGCTGAATGGGTAGACAGTCCGTCCTACCTCCACACCACAATGGTCAGCTGCACATGGAGGCAGAGAAGGGCCAGCTGGACTCCTGCCAGAATTGGCACACCACCACCGAAGGAGGACCCCAGCACTGTATGGAGTCCAGAGAGTGGGCCATCTGGTTCTGGGGGTGTCAATTAGTCCATCCCTAGCTATGAATATGAAAGGCCCATATCTAATAATGAACTATACAAAGATTGTATGTCAACAGCTCTCAATGCCTGTACAATTTATATGTAAGAGAAGAATGCTAGTGTGATTGGTGGTTGATTGATTTAATGCTAATTGGTTGCTATAATCAAAATGTTGTGGGAAACATCCAGTCAGTGAGGCAGCTAAAACTTGGAGTTAGAGCTAAGAGAGAAAGAAGTCTATTTTAGTTTCAATGAGGAATAAGAGTCTGTGTCGATGTTTATTAAAAAGGCCTTTCCTATCAGTTAGAGTATGTGTGTGTCAGAAGGTTGGTGAGTCTGTGAAGAAGTTATTGTGAGCTTGAAATATTGGAAGAGTACATTTACCATTTATAAGAAGGCCCTCAACTTTTCTAAACCAAAAATTAAGAAAACTTAGCTTTGAGTATTCAGCCTCTGGGCTGAGAACACTCAGACATTAGGAGTCCCAGTTGAATCTGAGCCTACAGGCTCCACCTCCAATGAGGTGTGTTCCAATTGGTTTGTTCAGCATCAGCTGACATCAGTTCCATAAGGCTTGTGTTTGGAGGAAACTAAGTCTCCTGACTGTAGGAACCTAAGTCTTCTGATTGGAGGCAGCTAAGCCTCGTGATTGAAGGAAGCCTGTTTACAGAGGCAAGGTATGGGCCATTTTGTTCTCTCCATGTTCTCAACTTACTTACGTGTAAAAGACACCCCTCATTTTTAGTGTAATAAAAGTAGTGTCTTATACATGGAAAAATACAGTACCTCACACTGTTGTTTGAATCGTTAATATCCTTAATTTAGATCCTACATTTCCCTTCATATCAATTACTCATGGCCCCTCAAATACATTAATTTTTGACAGTCTGAACCAAACTTCAGGGCAGGTTACATGAATCTGGAATTGGTAATGAAACAATTTATTTTCAACAGAAAAGGCAGCAACCAGGTGTCTCTTTAATGTGGAAAAACACAGGCGTAAAACAAAATAACAAGTATTTTGATAGTGTTAAATCTGACAGCTTTGTTATGATGAAAATTTTCATGGATTGCAGTTCTCTTCCAGTCAGGCAGAGCTCTGTGTTTGAAAAGGGTGCTTTAAGAAACTCACCTCCACCATACCTGGTGTTCCTATCAATTCCTGATTAAATATCTACAGATCTGGAACCAATATCTCAAATATGCTCATGAAAGATAACAGAAATGTTAATAAACATCCCATCCCCACCTGATTAAACTTCTGATTCCATGCAATGGCACTTCCATTAATGGTGAATTGCTCGCCTGTGGGTGCCTGTGGGTCCATCCATCCAACCAGGATTTTTTGGAAAGAACCATTAGAAAATACAATAAAATTCCTGATATCGAATACGGCAGCCAGTTCCCCATTCTCATCCAGGAATATTTCTTCTCCAGCATTATTGTTAAAATGGAGAGTTTTCAAAACTGAGTGAAGCTGGATTGGAGGGGGGTGAAAGTCATAAAATTAGTCAAAGGAAAATTCCTATCCTCACCCAACATACACTCTAGACACTGTTTCCATTCTCTATCCTATTCTTTTTACTCCTTCTTTGCAAGTCTAATGAGAGGGAAATATGTCCTTTCTCAAAAACTGATAAATGTTCCACTCAAAATACAAGGGAAAGTGTCTTGAAATAGTTAGGAAGATTCCCTTTATCTTCTCCAGCAGGCAGGAAAAATCTCCATAAGGATTGATTCTCACCGACAAGAATAAAACAAGCTAAGGATTGGCTTCCTTTAGCAAGGCAGAAAAACACAGAAATAATTGAATGTATTGGCTAATAATAATCTTAATCTGCAGAGCTAGAAGGGATTGCTGATTTCAGCCCCTGTCAGGGGGGCACAGTGGGGAATTGAACTCTCAACCTCTGGCTCCACAGACAGAGACCTAAACCACTACGTTATCCAGCAGTTCATGCCCACTGATGAATTCAGCTTGCAAGCTATTCAATACTGAGCAGTGATAGACTCAACTTCAGAAATTTTAGCATCAAGTTAAACAATTCCACAAAAGACACATCCAACTGTGGGTTTCCTCTCTCTCTCATCACTCCAGAAATGAAGTGAGACCTTACTGTTCTATTCTGCCTTTGGCACCAGAGGCAGAGGGATGGGGGAGAGAGGTAAAAGGTTTTGCTTTTCCTAGTTGTGGGCTTGTTCTAGATTTTGTTTTTCCTGTGGTTACCTGCCATGGCTGAATGTTCCGTGGGTCCCATTTGTCTCCATCTCTCTTCCCTTTCCATTTGGCTCTCAAGGAATAAATGGCATGCAGAGCATGTGCTACAAAATAAACAGCATTGTAGACGCTGTAGCTGTGGCCGGACATGCCCATTTCAAACATAGATCCCGGAAGAGCTTTGAGCTTCTCTTGCCCAGAGCAGTTGTATACATATATAACATCATGAAGTGGGAGAGAGCAGAAGAATACGGTACTCCAGAACGGTTGAATGGAATAAATTTTTGACTGAAATGGATTGATGCTCTCAAGAAAATCCTGAAACCCTGGCACCACATTTGTGTGGAGAGCAAATGACAAGGTGCCATTGAGTGACTCTATGCACACAGGTACCCCAGCCACTGTAGCTGTGTAATCCCACTGAGCTGTTGTGACCCACACTCTCTCTTGCGGATACTCCAGAACGGTTGAATGGAATAAATTTTTGACTGAAATGGATTGATGCTCTCAAGAAAATCCTGAAACCCTGGCACCACATTTGTGTGGAGAGCAAATGACAAGGTGCCATTGAGTGACTCTATGCACACAGGTACCCCAGCCACTGTAGCTGTGTAATCCCACTGAGCTGTCGTGACCCACACTCTCTCTTGCGGCTGTAGCTCATGATATTCAAATTTCTCTAAAACAAACTCTAACCCCACAAGAGACTGTCGGTCTCCATGCACAAGAATCACGTCAATTTCAATGGCAGCGAAAGCTATACTAATTGGTACCAGTTTTTCTGCAATTACTTCATCTAGGAAGTCTTCAGATATTCTTGGGATCATTATTGTCCATGCAATGCAAATATGACTTTGTAAGAGCTTCGGTCTCAAGTTTCGAAGGAACGTTTCTCCGCTGTCGTCCTCAGACACGACGAGGCCAACCCAATTCCAACCGAAATCCTTGAGCAGGTGAACAATCCCGATATACTGTGGATCTTCACTAGGGATCATCCGGTAGAAAAAAGGGAATTGAATTTTGTCACTCAGCGCTGGGTCAAAGGAGCCATAACTAAGCTAACAGAAAAGGCACAGCATATTTTAAAATTAGACTCATTGTATTTCCCTCCAATATAAACAAATCTTATCCAAATGTTTGTCGATGTTGTGTGCTGTCAAGTTGCTTCCAAATCATGGTGATCTCAGTAGCGTTTCCAAGATACGGGAAAGAGGTGGTCTAGCATGGCCACCACCAAATAATATTAGAAACAGGGATTTGAAACCAGGTCTTCTAGTTGTCCTACTCTTATGATAACTGCACTACCCTGCTTTCAAGTGTTTACCAGTGTTAAAGTTTTTGATCCCAATATTTGTTGCTTTTAACGTTCCATCAAATTAGAACTGACTTAAGCTCAATGCGGCCTTCAAGATACATGACATATTTAAAAGGAGATTCCATCAATTCCACAACTCCAGTGAATTTCCATCACTAAGCAGGGGATCAAACCCAGGCTTCCCAAGTCTTAGTCCATTACTACATCCACTGCACCACACTGCATCTGTTGACCAGGGTTTAATTCTTGATTCTACTAAATATAAGCTGGCAAGATTTTCTCTTCTACTTCTCAAATGCTCTCTTATACCACATACTAAACTCATCTGATGCTGTTGACTCAAAACTGGAGGGTAAATTCTATGCACATGTAGAAGGAATTCAAGGAGAAACTGAAAAGAACTCTCCACCTTAGATTAAGCATCCTTTAGTCTTGAGAGACTATAGTAACATGCTCCGAATAGAGGACTGGGAACAGCATCTAGTGTGGCTGAGAAGGCCAATTCAAGGGTGGAATCTCTCCACCTTAGGCATCTACTATCTCTAAAACCGTACCTGTGGTATATTGTAGATGTTTAAAATGTGTGCCATCTGCACGGAGTTTTGAGAGGTGAGCCCACCAATGACAGCCAAGGCTTTTTCTTTCCTTCCACAGTCGTAATTGAGGGGGTTTCCTTTCCCCAGGAACAGAAGATCTACTGTGTTAGAAGATGCTGTCCAGGAAAGAAAACCGTTGTCATAAACCTTGTAACCCAGTGTGATGTTTGGCAACAGTTCGGCATTCTTGTTGATCTCATGGAGAGCATAAGCAAAGGCCAAGACATGCTGGTAGAGTTTAGGGAGCAGACTGCAATGACATTTCAAAATGTTTTTTTCACTCCTTGACCTCAAAGAATCAAATATGTTACAGTTTCTGATATAATCTGTTCATTGCAATGAGTTGCATGTTGGAACACACATTCTGAACATTTTTTGGTAAAACCACGAAACTGTGTTGTCTCCTAAAGCAACAGGAGTAGAAGAATAAAGTGTCGGCATAGCACGATCAAATTCACTACCACTAGGCTGGCTTAGAGTGCAGGGGCAGAATTGAGCAATGAAGAACCACATATGGATTCCCTTTCAGAAGTCACGGAGGTCTCAAGTCCACATTCATTTCCATTCAGGAAGTATTTTGGGGGGAACATCTGAGATTCCCTCTTACCAGAGGTTTAACAGCAGTGCTTTTCCTAAATGAGCTTAACAGTTAGTTCTGAAGATATCATGTCCCCACAGAGTCCAAACCTTTTTGTCAATGCACTTTGAACTCCCTGTCCTTCTTCTGTCACCATAGCTTTCCTTCTATTTTTTTCTCCCTCTTCAATGAACTAAGGGGGGGGGATCTTTTTCTGTTATCTTTCACAACTTTTCAGTTCCATTTCCGGCTGATGCGCACCTTTCCAACCTCTCTCTCATCCACTCATCTAATTCTCTGCCCCTCAAAACACCAAAGAAAATCAAACCGGTGTTGGTGTCCAAGGGTAGATCTCAAGGACATTTTTTTTTATTTATATCCCACCTATCTGGTCAATTACGACCACTCTAGGCAGCTTACAACATAAAATACAGATAAATAGAAAAAGAATTATTACGCAATAAACAAATTCAACAGGATGGAAAGTAAACAAGAAGAGAGGAGAGGGAAGGAACACATCAGGTTTTCATTCTAGTTAGTTTCTGCTGAGTATCTTCCTTCCATGGAAAGAAACAATACACAGAGGATCATCTAAAGTTTATGCTGGAAAGCCAAAGGGACGACTGAAATGCAAAATGGTTGTGTACATAAAAGAGGTACAACTACGACATACAACCAGAGTATCTCTCGTCCTTGAAATCCGTAGCTGAAAGAATGGAACATGCCAGCAGAAAAATGAAAAACCAGCATTTAGAAAACTCTGCCAATCCAGGAAAAAGCCAACTCCCAATTGCTTGGGGGAGTACCTATTTTTTGTTCCCTCTAAAATGGACATCCTGCGCCTGCCTCAAAACCTGCTTGGAAGAGGAAACGGAGGTAAAATAAATTTTACTGAAGACACGGTTTAATCTCAGCCTCCCAGTGGTTCTGTTTATAAAGATGAGATAGTGGGATATTTGTTTGTTCTTTCTTTAAGTTGAAAGAACAAAAACAGAAATTACTCTCTACATGGATGGCACCATTTATTTTGTCATCCTACAAAGCATCTCTGGGTTATTTATTTATTTATTTATTTTATATCCCGCCTATCTGGTCAACTAAGGACCACTCTAGGCGGCTAACAGACAAAGAATAATAAAAATATACTGCACATATACAAAGCAACAAAATAATAAAAACTTAAGAAAGACAGAAAATCAGTAGAAAGGAAAGGAAAAGAACATCAGGAGTTGTTAATGACACATTTCTTAACAAAATCAAACAATTAAGACCTACTTACTAATCATTCCTCGGGGATGGTGGTTGTTTCATAAAGGACTCCAGGGTGAAGTTGCCAAGAGAAATGGATGCAAGTTCACCAATGATCATCTCATCTTTAGGGTCATTTGAAGGGATCTGAGCTGCTGGTCTCCCACCACACACGGAGGTCCTCAATCTGTCACACAAGCACCAGTGCTGCAGGAGGAGAAGGAGGAGTAATAACAACAACACAAACAGAGGATGTGCTGGCAAACATCTAGCAATGTCCACATTGGACCCCATGAATGACCTCCTACGTTCACCACGTCTGAACTCTATCTGTCTTGGCAGGAGAGACAGAAAAGCTAGAATTGACAAGGTATCTCTGCCCCAGATTCTGAGGTTGAGATGTTATAGGTTGTTTGGACAGGAGATTTTATAGTGTGAGGGAAATACTCCAGAGTAGCAAAGGGATATTTTTGTTCCTTCTTTTGGTTGTTTTTGAAACATGTCCTGGGGGATTAAAAAAAGTAGTGGTACTGCAGAAAGCAATTTTAATAATTACAGGGAAGATAAACAAAACTCAGAAGATGTGTTGGTGTTTTTCTGTCAGGCAGGGCAGCCTACTTTTATTTTGAAGTCAGAAAACTTTGTGAGACACCTCAGAGGGAGAAAGCATCCTTCTCTCAATTCACTGGAATTTTTAAATTTAACAAGGATTTCTCCATATGGCGCAGGAAGAAGGAGGATGTGTAAGTTGACTTTGTATCCTGCTCAAGTACTTGAATAGCTGCCTTCAGCTGAGAGAGGCCACTGGTCTGTCAACTCCAGGATTGTTGGTCAAGAATTCCAAAGGTGCTCTAAGACCTGTCAAAACTTTCTCCTTCCCATGAAAGTTGTCCGTTTTTAAAAAGTGTCTCTTCTTATGTTCTGATTTTTGACTGCTCTCCAGAATGATGGGCAGAATTCAGCACCAGAAATCATGGTTTTGGAGGAGAACAACAGACCACCAGAAAGGCAAATAAGTGTATGCTCAATCAAATCAAGCCTGGATTCTCATCAATAAGTGTATGCTCAATCAAATCAAGCCTGCATTCTCATTAGAGCAAAAATGAGTAAACCAAGGCTATCCTGCCAGGCATAAAAATGAGTAAACTGAGGCTATCCTACCAGGCACATGTAATGAGAATACAGTGGTGCCTCGCAAGCCAAATGTAATTCATTCTGTGGTTAATGTTGTCTTGTGAAAAATTCATCTTGCGAAACGCGTTTTCCCATAGGAATGCATTGAAATCTAATCAATGTGTTCCTATGGGCAAAAAAGTCAGAATAAAGTCAAATTTGGTTTACAAAGGGTTTATTAAGTGCTCTTTAAAGCCATACATATTGTGCAGATGATTTTAAAAATTTCAATTAAAAACTTTTTAAACATCATTGAAAAACATTTAAAATCAGCAAACATGAGGCAGGAACAAAAAATGGAAAACAGTCGTCTTGCGAAGCACGGCCATAGGAACATTTGTCTTGCGAGTCATCAACATTACATCAACATTACCATTACAGTGGTGGCTCGCAAGACAAATGCCTCACAGGACAAAAAATTTGCAAGACAAATGGTTTTGGCAATGGGATTGATGACTGGCAAGACAGATGTTCCTATGGCCATGCTTTGCAATAAGAATGTTTTCCGTTTTTTTAATTTCAACATTAACTGCGGAACAAATTAAATTCCTCTAGCGAGGCACCACTGTATAGTGACAGGAAGGATGGAATGTTTAAGACTATGGCAGGATGTAGGTGTCAGAGCTTTGTTAACATTGAGTAAGAAAATTCCTAGCCACAAAGCTTACAAGCCTTTAATACACATGCTTGGTCTTCTTCCATATGAGCCTGCCTGTCCTCTAAGATCAGGCCAGGAGGCCCTTCTGAAGGTCCCATCCCTGAAAGAGGTGAGGAGGATGGCATATCAAAAAAGGGCCTTCTCAGCTTTTGACCCCCAACTTTGGAATGCCCTCCCTATAGAGATCTGCCTGGCTCAAACACTTTTGGCTTTTCGGCGCCAGGCAAAGAGCTTTCTGTTTAGCCAGCATTTTAATTAAACAGTATTCTCTAGCTGGCCACATGAGCAACAGGACTTATTAATATTAATGTTATAAGAATTGTTTTAATATAGGATATTTTATATTGTCTTTTTAATGTTTTTAATGTTTTTATGTTTTAATGTTGTATGCCGCCCAGAAGCCACTGGTAATGGTGTGGCTAAAAAATATTGTAAATAAATAAATAAATAAACAACACAGTGGCTGTTTTTCCCTTTTGAAAGATCTTGTTAAAGGATCAATATTTCAGCTAATGCAGCCTGGATTATTTCCAAACTTTAAAAAGCAACTCTGACAAGAAGCAAGATTAGTCTTTTCAATTTAGTATATGAGGTATTTTAATTTTGAGGACATATATAGTAGCCTATTTCTGAACAAGAAGTAATAGTGGCCCGCACTAGCTTGCGACCTAATGCTAGTCTACCTGCACCCTATTGATTGATTGATTGATTGATTGATTGATTGATTGATTGATTGATTGATTGATTGACTGACTGACTGACTGACTGACAGACAGACAGACAGACAGAA